ACTTTTACCTGGTCCCCCAGATGAAACTCTGGGAGCTATACTCGAGTGTGCTTCTCTTCCTGTCCCATATCGAGTCCTTCACCAAGTGCTATTGACACTACTTCTTAAATCCCAATTGACTGCCAGTCCCTCCCCTTCGTTCTTCCAGACAGTTCTTCGGAGATGCTTAGTTTTTGATAGATATCCACCACTTCTCCCAGAGATGATTATAACTGTCCCCAGATTCAGTTTTTATCATGCTGAAGATGAGATCCGTAAGTGGTTATGAAATCCTTGTAGTGGATCATGATCGTCACCTTAAAAAAGAGAAAAGAAGAAGAAATAGAATAGAATGGAATAGACTAGAATAGAAAATATCAGAGTGAAGTGCATGAGTTAAAGGAAAGTGCTGTTTACTGCAACTTTTGACTCACTTGTATTTATGTCTGTACATATTCATACGTACAGATATGTAGGTTGTATGTATCACCTAGTATGGATTCTAACACCAGTTCTGGTGTGTGTGCTTAGGGGAAGGGGGAGGCTTCCCTACATTTCCAAGCAAGCCACACCAACCCAACAGCCGCTGGGCGTCCTGCAATTCAGCTCAACTCTGACGCTGCCTACCCAGAAGGAGCATCAGGCCTCACGGGTTAGACGCTCAGTCCCACGAGGGCGCTCCCCACCCCCACTTCGAAGGCCAGTCGCAAGTCCGTGTTGCCTGTGCTGCTGACCAACTGATTATAGACTGGAGAGTCCAACCGCCCCTTCCTCAGGCTTCGTTAATTGGCTAGAGCAGCTCATGGAACTGAAAGAAACATTTTCCTTACTAGATCATCAGTTTGCTAGAAGGCTGTAACTCAGGGGCAGTCGGGTGAAAGAGAGGCACAGAGCAAAGCGTGGGTGCAGAGCTTCCATGCCCTTTTTGAGTAGCCACTCCTCCCAAATCCCCACGTGGCGTGTTCACCAGCCTGGAAGCTCTCCAAACCCTGTGCCTTGGCGGTTTTGTGGAGGCTTCGTTACATAGGCATGATTGATTAAGTCATCAGCCACTGGTGATTGATTCAGCCTCCAGCCCTTCTCTTATCCTCAAAAGACAGGGGTGCGACTAAAATTTCCAACCCTTTAATCACATGGTTGGCTTCATTGGCAACCAGCCTACCATGTTACCTCATGGTTTTTTTAGCATGGCATTGTAAATGTCTTTAAAATAAACGATCAGGCTTGTGATTTGAAAAATAACTTTATTTGCTGATGGTGCGAAGGGCTGATAGGTATACGGACAGACTGGAACCAGAGAAATCAGGCAGAAGTCTACTTGATCAGCCAAAAGAAGACAAAAGATGAAGAGGATTAAAAAATGTAGAGCCAGTGAGAGAAAAAGAAGCAAGAAGGCATGAACCAGACACAGGAGAACGTAGTGAGGAGGGACTGACGGGCCTTGGTGAAAGAATCCATGTGGCAATTCAGGTGGAGGCAGGTGTTTCGATTAGATGATGCTGTGAACCAAACCATGGAGGAAACTTCCTGTTTTGCAGAGAACAATGAGTTTATTAGTTTGTGCACTAATAAAACCATCTGAGGAGTCTTCAACGTGCCGACAATCATTGAAGGATTCAGAGTGTAATAAATGATGAAAAACAAATTAGAGGAAATACATAAAATGTATATATTAAAGTAGAGTAAATATCAGTGGTTAAAACTATCAGAACATATCTTAAAAGTTGAGATATAACTTAGAGATTTTAGGGCAAGTGTTATTTCCAGGAAAATAAGAGTTAATACAAAATAAAATGTAATGTATGGTAATGCATGGGTCAGCTATGAATAATATTTAAAGAATCATATTAAAATATATTCATTATGATAAGTTTTAAACTCTTAATTTTGAGCTATCTGGTACTTGTTATATAACTATACTGGCAAGATAGGAGGAAGGAGTGTGGAGGGATTATGTAGGACTGTTCAATTCTTATTTTTCATAGCAGGAACCTGAGGATAGCATCTAAAGCTGAACCAACTGATAAATAGCAATAAAAGAATGGTATTTATAGATGAGTATTTAAGCACCTAAAAAGGCTTGAAATTGTGTGCATCTGAAAGCAGGAAAAGGGAATCAGACAAGAGGCCAACTGATTTTTTAAAAAACATTATTAATAATTTGATTTTGTACACATGATAATAATTACACAATAAGCAGATTAAGGTACAACTCTCTCTATATATATTTGTATATGTATTTTAATGCACAAGTAGAAAAGGGCACACATCAATGAATGAATGAACTCAGTGAACACAGTGGACACTCCCAAATAACCATCACCCAGGTTAAGAAAAAAACATATTCATAGCCAGAAGTTCCTTTTTACACTCTCCACATCACTAACCCTTCCCTCCTCTACAGAAGTGATTCACTATCCTGACTACTACCATCATGGAACAGTATTACCTGTTTTTTTTTAACTTTATAGAAATAAAATAACATAGTACGTATTCTTTTGCATCTAGCTTTTTTAACTTAAAATTGTATTTGGTGAAATTCATCCATGTGGTTTCATGTAGTTGCAGTCTTTCATTTTTAATTCTATGTACTATTTTCTTATATACAAACACCAGAGTTGTTGGTCTATTTGTTTATTCTACTGCTGATGGATACTTGAATCAGTTACAGTTTGGAGCTGCTATGAATGATGCTGCTGTGAAGACCTTTGGATGGGAATTATGGTGTAGATGTGTACATATTTCTGTTGAGTAGCTGGAGCATATGGCATAGCATAGATTCAGTTTTCATAGGTAACATTTGAGCAATTTTCCAAAGTGGTTGCACCAATTTATGCTCCCACCAGCAATGTGTGAGAGTCACCATTTCTCTATGTCTTACCAACACTTGATATTGCCAGTCTTTTTAATTTTATGTGTGTGAAGGACTATCACATTAAGTCTTTTTTAATTGGTACTTCTTGATTTTTGAGGAAGTTGAATATTTAGATATCATCTTTTGTGAAGTACCTAAGCCTCTTGCTTATTTTTCTATTGAGATTGTCCAACTTTTTCTTATTGATTAGGAGGAGTTCTGTATGTGTGGATTACCATGAATCCATCATACATTCTGAAGACAAAATGTTCTACCTAATTATCCTTTTGGCTAGAATTTTTGCATCCCATTTAAGAAAAAAATTTTACATTAAATTCATGAAGATATCCTAACTGTTTGTCATGTCAAATTTTTGTTGTTTAGCTTTTTCTTTTAGGTATACAATTCAACTGGAATTAATTTTGTTTTTTTGGTATTATGTCAGGGAGGTGTCAATTCTTCCTAAATTAATTTGCAAACTGAATGACTTCCAGTTGAAATAAATAAGTCAATAAGACTTTTTAAAAACTATATGAGTTAATTCTAAAATTCCTTTAAAAAGTAAACAACTGGTAATGATCAGCAAATTTTGAAAAAGTTAAACAACTGCATGGGATTGACCCATTAGCTCTGTGGACTGTGCACTGAACAATTCCAGAGTCAGGTGAGGCTGTGGGCATCACTAACCCTGTAGTTTATATAAAAAATGGCCCTGAGAAGGAATTATGTGCAACCTACATGATTGTAGAGAACAGATTTGACACTACCATAAAACCTTCTAAAAAGCTATATTATAATTGTCTGTTATTGGCTTCTCAATATGTAGATTGATTAGTGGGAAGAGTGAAAGCCCCCAAAATAAAACAAAATTTGCATAGAAATCTAGTATATGAAAAGGTGGCATTTCAAATCAGATGTAAAAAATCGATTACTATTAAATTATGTTTGGGAAACTAAATATAATCTCCACCTTATACCATACAACAAAACAAACTTTAGGTGAAACAAAATATAATTTAAAAATAATCAGAGAGGGGAACTTCTCTCTACATATACACAAATGAAAAAAGAAAAGATCAATGAACTTCACTGAAAAAATAATCTCTTCAAAAGATAAGTTAAAAATTAAAATTAATATTACAAATAAAAGACTGTTTACTTAAGTAAAGAGCTCCTTTGAAAACAAAACCAATAACTCTGGAGAAATACAGGCAAACAGTAGGAAAAGACAACTAAACAGATACCTTACCTAAGAACAAACAAACCACCACCAACAAAAAACTAATGGTCTTTAAACATAACAAAAGAGTCACACTAACTCACTCATAATGAAAGACAGACACCGTGTTTTGTCATTTTTAGATTGACAAAGACCAAGATACTGGATCGTTATGTTGGTATGGGGAAACAAACTCTCATACAATAATGATGAGAATATTAATTGGTAACAAGTCTTTAGGAATTAATCTAATGCCTATAATTTTTGACCTGGTAATTCTATGACTTTGTACCAGGATATTCATTAAAATGTTATTTCCAGTAGTAAAATATTAGAAATGCCCTCAAGCATTCATTAGGAGATTATTAGTCAGTCAAATTATGGTACAGTGGAATATTATGTACCTGAAAAGGGGGAAGAGAGGCAGGAGAGGAGAAGGAGAAAAAGAATGGAATTTTATTTAAATTTATATGCAACTATTTCTAAGAAAAAATTAAGTTCAAAGAATCCATATAGTATGCTACCATTTGTGGGAGAAATAAAGGGACTAATATGCATGTCTTCTGGAAAGATATACAAGAATCGTAAAACAGGATTTGCATTTGTGAAGGGGAACGAGGTTGCTGGGATACAAGGGAAGAAAGAAAATTAATTTTCTTATTGTGCTCCCTTTTAAGAGGAGATATTACTTACGCAGAAAAGATGACTGAAATAACTTACTAATGAAAATTAAAACGATAAAAGCCAGAAGGGATTATAGTAGCACATGAATTATGCACCAAGTGTTGCATATGCAACCTTCTTCCCCACTACGTGGTAGTTACTGCTCTTTCCCCATGGTCCTGCATTAGTTTAATAACAAAACTACAGTCTTAATCGAGGTGTGTCAGGTTCAAGCCATGAACTTTTTCACACTGTGCTTTCTCTATCTACAACAACATATTTTACTGAGATTCTCTTTAAAGCCAACTGGATGGTGTCACATCCCACTAGTCGACTTCTAATCCACCCGTCTTTTCACTTGCTCCTCTGCCTTCCCTCTCCACCCCCCCCCACACTCACACAAACCCATGTACGCACAGAAATGACTTTGTTTGGAAGGCAACCACCTACCGTGAAGTGACCCAGAACCTCGCACTGTTCCATGGATAATTGTAGGAAACCAACAAATAGTTTTCATGCTTAAGACATATGTGAGTAATTGGTCAAATTTAAGTGGCATCAATCCTACTCTGCATAGCTGGACTGTTCATGCATCCCTCAACCCTTGCATTCCTCTGTCAACTGTTCTGTTTACACAGGCAAAATTCTAAGCACATGGAGCTATCTTAGGCTGTCTTCATGATCATATCCCAAATATTCAAAAGACAAGGAGCAGGAGACAGTTGATATAGAGAAATGTAATTGCTGGTTGATCAACAGGAAGGTGAAACAGCATTCCCTCATCACCAGGAGAGAAAAGTGACTGAGGTCACAGCCCTTGGGGACAGATGCAGCTGAGAGGGTTCCCAGTTCTTTTATTAACCCGCTTTGTAACCTTGGATAAGTTTCTTAACTTCTTTAGCTTCAGTTTTCCAGATGATAAAATGGGAATAAAAATAATACTGTCTATCTCATGGGCAGGATTGTTGTGATAGTTAAAAAAATGAAAGCATTATCCTCAGTGCTTGATACATACCAAGGTTTCAATAAATAGCAATTATTGCTTGAGTACTATTTGAATACCCCACAGGCCAAACCATCAGTGAGTGCTGATAGGCTCTCTGCTACAAACTGACCCAAATGGGACACTCCTTCACCTCTTGGCCCGATTCCATTCTTTCACCACACATCTCAGGGTGTCCGAGTATCTTTACACTCTTCTCCCTCTAATTCTACACAGCTCACCCAGATGATTCACGGAGGACGTCCTTCCAACATGGAGGAGGTCTCTATAGGAATGTCACAAGCTCAGAGAGGCTTGCCCCAACCAAGCACCATTTTGTTTCATGTATCCTCCAGAGCCTAGAACAATGTTAAATACATATTTGGCCTTCAAAATGCCCTGTGCTGCATCGTATAATATCAGACAACTTAAAAAAAAGACCCATTAAAATGTTTCGACTGTATGCCGAGCATTTGCCACCTTCACCAATTATTTTCTATCATCTTCTTGATAAAGAAACAGAGGATCAAGAGTTTTCACATTTTGCCCAGTATATTTTAAGAAATTGTTCTCATTTTAATCATTCTTAAATTTTTCATCCTACCTAAGAAGAAGATCTCCAGTTAGAGCTAATATTCCTCTAACACATTTCTCACACTTCCTGACATTCCCCTTTTCTCAATTAAGAGCAAGTGGACAGAGACCACAGTCCTAGCGGGCAACAGTGTGGTCTTCAGCAGAGTTGGTCAGGTTCTGCTGTGGGTGAAAATCACACTCAAATTCTCAGTGCCTGAACTGAACGAAAGCGTATTTCCTATCCACAGCTCATGTCCTAAAGGGCTGGTGTTCAGCAGGGAAACAAGGCTGTGCCATCACCACTCAGAGACCAGGGCTGGGGTGCTGCCATCTCACAGCCGCATCCTCTGGAACCTGGAGTTTTCTTCTGTGCCACGTCAGAGGACGCGAGTGAAGGGAATTGTGCATGGTCAATTAAATTACCTGGTGCAAGAGCACTCTGTGTGCCTTCCCCTTGCAGTCTGCTACACAGAGCTAGTCACGTGGACCTCGCCAACAGGACATGTGCTTTTCCACAGGCCCAGGAAGGAGTCACGTCAGCTACAAGTATCTTGCTGGAATCTAGCAATGTTGCTGTAGTTTTTCATTATATTTATTTTTATGATTAAGGGATATTTATGAAGAGTGGGTTTCTATTTATAAGTTCTTTTAAAATAAAATTATAAAAGTGCAAAAAAGAAATCAAGATAAAGAAATGTTAAGTAAACAATGATTCAGGTAGTATACAGATAGAGCAAAAATTGTGGCGAAAGCTACGTTGTGAAAATCGGGAATAGCTGTCCTCACGGGAGGTCACACAGCTAGTTCGTGACAAAAATGAGAAAATTCCAGGTCTCTGACTCCACCTCTGTGTCCTCCCCATGTTGCTGTTGCTTTTCAGATCCAGCCCACGTGATAGTCCTGACCCTTCTAAGTGTGGACACGCTAAGGAGAGGAACTCCGCTTTCTAAAATTACTTTTTGTAGTATCTTTGGACAGCATTTTAGGAAAAAATAAACAAAATGACCTGGTTACTACTTTTTAGTCAATTTTACAAAGTTTCGGAACTTACTGGAAGAACATGGAGAGGGAATTACTGATTTTAAGTACCTGAAAAAACACTGAAGAAAATGTGACCCATTTAGCAGTGGCGGTAACAGCAGACACTAAATCAGCAATACTAGCAAAAGGGCGCTTATCTGTAAAGACCATGCTGAAGAACTTCAGAGTGAAATAATTCAAATCTTTATTAGCCTGTGTATTTTGCTCAAAAGAGGTTTACAAAGCTACAGAGCACACTGAATCTTATTTACACTGTCACATAGATCTGCTTATTAGAAGTTCTTCAGCAAGATTTCCAACTTGTCCTTCTGTTATTTTTAAAAAATTTGTCAGTTGAAGACCTTAATCCTTACTTTGGGCTTTTTAGCAAGTGAATTTTTATGAAAGAATTGATCCTTGACAAAAACAAAGCAAAGACAACTAAACAAAAATCTGCACTCATCTCTCCACCTTACGGCCCCTTCTCCCATCCCAGTTCTGCTTCATCAGAAGCGGGTCCAGGTCGCTGCCATCGTCCCCTGCTTCATAAGCCCCGTCTCGCCCATGCGGAGAGTGCTTCAAATCAGTCCCCTTGCCTTCTGCTTTCACCCTACTCTGCCCTCTTCAAAAACCATGGCCTCCGCTTGCTACCACGGAGGAAAGGATCGGACCCACTAATTCAAAATAAAGCCAGATGAAATCACTTAATATGTCACACCCCCCCCCCAAATAATCCATTACTAAGTTAGGAGAGTGTGACCGTCACAGACCAGGATGACTTCAGTCGTGGGAGTGAGGAGATATTTTTTGACAAGGTCACGACACTAGCTGGCTTTCTGCTAGCCTTGTTAATTCTGCTTCTTTTGGGGGTAATCTCTGATTCTTTATTCTCCGGAATTATTTCTCCTGATTGAGAGGTGCTGCCTACAAGAGATGATTGGTAGAAGCCAAATTTTCCTCCTGCAAGGAAATAATACAGAGAAAGTATTAAAAGTCAGCTTTGCCTTCTGAGATGTCAGATTAGGGGAGGGTTTTTACACAAGCTGCTTCAGATCACTTCCTTCTTCCTTATGAGAGCTCAACACCGTGCAGCTGGTTAGCTAAAGGAGCCCCACTTCTGCCGAGTAGTCAGAGCTCCAAACTGAAGTGAAACAACGTGAATCAACATGCAGGAAATGGGTACCATAACTCTATTTTTATAATAAGTACAATGATTTTGTTGCTTTAAAGACATGTTTTCTTTTCTTTCTGTTGAACAAAATAAACAAGTTCAAATAGGGTCCAGCGCTTATGGTGTCGGTGCTGATTCAGGCACACTCTGAGGCGCTCTAAGCCCTGAACGCATGACAAAAACCCTTGACCCCAGCTCCCCCGTGGAGCACTAGGATTGCGTCTCACTCCGCCCACACCCGACTCCACACCCTGAGGATGGGGCACGGGGAAGTGGCCCAGAAAGCAGACACTTGAGTCTGGGCTCCACATCATCTCTGTGACTTTGGACCTTGGACAAAACCATCATTATTCTTTCTAGATCTCACTGTTGTCACCTGCCTAGTGAGCAGTTGGGCCTCGTCCCACTCTCACAGTTGACGATCTGGAAGCATATATGTCGCTCTGTCAGACAAAACCTCTATTTGGTTTTCTTTTGTACTGTTTAATAATTTGGAAGAAATGTTTTCATTTGTTTTTATGTTTTTCTTATTTAAAAACATGTTAATTTTTAAATAATATAAAAATATAGATAAGCAAAAAGAAGAAAACAAATTAAATTCACTCATAATCCTACTACCCAATAAAATGTTACAGTATATAGCCTCCAGCCATTTGCATTGCGATTGTTCAGTTAACAATATGCTGAGATTATCTCCCCTCGGACTTAACCACGGTCGTGCCGGCATAGCACAGTTCACCTCACTGAGTCTTTTTTGTTTGACTTTTATGTTGATAAAATTTGTTTATTGTTATCCATGTTTAATGAACAGCCATGTATACAAATATTGGTGTATAATACTAATTAATGTCTTAAGGTGAATTCTCAGAATCAGGAGTCTCTTGCTCATGAGGTATGCTTACAAAAAGAAATACTTTTTTTTTTAAACACAAGAGTAATTCATTATTGTTGAAAGCACTAAAATAAAAGTGTATATTATAAAAAGCTACTTTTTCCACTTCAGTCCTAGAAGTAACCACTGATAATGGTTCAGAGAACATCCATTGATTTAATAAAACACATAGACTAGACACAATGTCTGTCTTAGTTACAGGGAACACGACACGGATCACAGTAGACACTGCACCCATGGAGCTTAAGAATTTAGGATGAGAAATCTTAAATTATCTATAAATATATACAATTACACCTTGTAATGGGTGCGCTGAACATGTCGTAAATGATTTGATGAGCGAGTACAAGGAAATTACTTAATTTTCATGAATAAGTGGAGAATGTTTGAGACGCTATCAGGGAAAGTTTCTCTGAAGAAGTAAGATATAAGTTAAAATCTAAAGGGTAAGTTAATTTAGGCAACCAGGAATGTGGCAGCAGGGAGAGGTGGGGGGAGAGAGGTTCTGAACAGAGAATGAGACAAGAGGAAGTGTTCCAAGTTCACAGGGTACTATGTGCAAAGTCCTTGAAAGTGGAGTTGAATTTGGTGAGTGAAGGTAATAGAACACATGAGAAACAGGCAAGTGGGAACAGACTAAAGAGGCAGGCAAAAACTGGCTCATGGAGGGCCCTGGAGGCCATGATGCTGTGTTGATATCCATTCTAAAAATAACGGGAAATTTATTGGAGGCTTCCCCCATTAAACTAGTGTGTATGTCTAGCTTAGGTAGCCCCATGCCAGATGTGGTCTGTTGGCACCCAGCACCTTTCCCAGCATTCCTCTATATCACAGGGGCCTGGGTGCTTGAAAACAAAACCCCAGTCCCCAGACACCCTAGCCAGTTGGTTTCCAGTTCGGCACAGTGACAGGCACTGGTGGGAGGTGAGAAGGCAGCAGGAAGGCTGACTCCATCAGCAGCAGCCATGGTCCCACAGCTCCATGGTGAGGGCACAGGCTACTCCCTGCTCCCTGGTTTACATCCTTTTCTTCCTTTGCTTTTTCAGCCCTTCCAATGCTTTTGTGGTGCAACCCTTTGCATTCAATCCCTCTCTGCTTAAAATATTCAGAGTAGTTTCTGGTTTCCTTTCTAGACATTGATTTAATGTTTTTGATTTGGGCAAATACTTTAGTTTCTTACTCACCATGACTATTGCACATGCCCCCAAAGAAGTTTGCAAAACTCTTTTATGAATCAGTTCACTTTAATTTTGGGTAACACGTGGCTTCTTGGCTACAGTTTAATTGCCAGTCTTGGTATAGTCATCTGTAGGAGTCATAACTGAAGCACTTAAAAAAATATGTAACAACAATCCTTATTTCAAGAATTCTTTGAAACAGTTCTTCCTGTGAGGATTGTAAGTCTGATGTTCTAATTGAAACAGTTCTAATTTTGCAGGTACTAGTATGTTATCCTCTGATTACCTTCGACATTACCAAATTCTGTGTCCTGCCCTGAAAATACTGCCCCTTACATATATATGTTAGTCTTCCTGTCATCCAGATGATGTGGGTGTTTGCTTTGCCCTCCATAATTTATGCCCACTTACTTGGGAGGAGTCTCTCAGTCTGGCTGCACGGGAACAGGCCTTTCCTGCCCCATACCTTCAGATGAGTTTAATGGTGTCTTGATCCAGTAGGGCTTCAGGTAGAGCCAATTTCATACTCTGTCTTTAGAATTTCAATCTAGACCCCAAATGACAAAAAAGGCTGAACATGATGATAGTTGATTCATCTTGATAACAGCCTAAGGGGCTGTCTGTGGGTCTGGCTTTGCCTACCCACTGGTTCTGGGTCATGTTCTAGGTCTGGGTCCCCAGCTCTCTCTTCCACTGTTAAAAGAGCTCTCCTGTTATGCACCTGGTAATTTGCTTCTCTGAGTTGAAAAGAATTTGTTTCTTTCACCTTAAAGAATCATACAGAGAGAGGGATTGAATTGTATCTTTTGTTTTTAATTGGAGTAAAATATATATAGCATAAAATTATGATCTTAACTATACTAAGTGTACAATTCAGTAGTGGTAAGTGAATTCACATTGCTGTGCTTCCAATCTCCAGAACTCTTTTCATCTTGCAAACCTGAAATTCCATACCTATTAAACAACAACTCCCCATTCCTCCCTGCCCCCAAGCACTGGCAACCACCTTTCCACTCTCTATTCCAGGTGCCTCATACGGGTGGAATCACAGTATTTGTCTTTTTGTGACTAGCTCATTTCACTTAGCATAATGTCCTCAAAGTTTACCCGTATTGTAGCATGTGTCAGAATTTTCTTTCTTTTTGAGGCAGTAATACTCCACTGTTTGTATATTACACATTTTGTTTATCTAATTCATTCATCAGTGGTCACCGGGGTTGCTTCTACTTCTTAGCTATTGTGAATAACGCTGCTACAAGCAGGAGTGTACAAAATCTCTTCGAGACTCTGCTTTCAATTCCTTTTGGATGTAAACCCAGAAGTGGACGCATGGGATCGTATGGTTATTCAAGGTTTGCTATTTCCAGGAACTTCCATACTGTTTTCCATACTGTCTGCACCATTTTACATTCCTACCAACAGTGCACAAAGATTCCGACTTCTCTACACTCTTGTCAGCACTTGTTATTTTCGGGAGTTTTTTTTTTTTTTTTTTTTTTGGATAGTTGCCATCCTACATCCTTTTTCTAAATATTTTAAACATTTTCTAAATACTGTGCCAAGGACAGTCTCATATGCAGAAATGAGTTATGTAAAATGTAATGAACAATTAAATACTAACCTAAATGTCTTGGGGAAGAGCTGGCTGGCTCTCTAAACTCTGGCGCTCCTGGACCTAGCCTATTGATTTTTTCCTTTACTCTTCCCGCTTCTCCCACAATCCTTCTGTTAAGAATTCTTTAAACCTGAAGAAAAAGAAAGAAGTGCACTTTTTAACTGTACTTGCTTTCATGTTTGCTTTCTCTCACGGTGAGTCTGCTAACCATCTTAGAGAGGGTTTAAGTCATGCCATGTTAATAATTTCAAAATGTAGGTTTGGAGTGTATCTTTTTTTTCTTTCTTTCTTTCAAAAAAGAATAAGGAGGAAACTCAAAAACCTGCTAAAAATTGCAAACAAGATGCCTCAGGCCCTTCCCTTATCGAGGAAGCATTTAGGATCTTTTAAAAACACTAGTGTTTTTCCTACTTGCGATAACCTGGGTAGAAAAATCCTGGGAACCAGTGCTTGGCGCTCACCTTTCAGACTCTTCACAGCCAAGACACAGACGCCTAACTGTCTCCCGGGCACAGCTGCATCTCCAGCAGCCTTGGTCTCTGTGGGCACATATCCTCGGTTTGGAACATTCTCTTTTGGAGTTCTTTAGCTGCGCCTGAACCAGGAGGATCGGAGGCGCTTGGCTAAGGGTGGGCTCAGGAGCCGGGCACCCCTGGATTCCCAGCCAGCCAGTCCCCGGCGGAGTGCCTGTGAGTTAGGTGCTTCCACTCTCCGAGCTCCAGTTTCCTCATCTGTGAAACAGGAATAGCACTTCCTGCCCGCGGGCCCACGGTGATGATTAACTGAGGTAATGAATGCACACATTCCCAGCATGACTTTGGTCTAACAGGCTGTTTAAAAACTGAATAATTCATTTGATTCATCTGGTACAGAAGAAAAACTGGTTAATGGTCATTATCTGAAAATAAGAGTTTCAGTGTATCTATTCTTTGAATGTGTTTTCTTAGCTGTCCTTGAATTTTTTGAGAGCACTCAACAATTAGACCGGATGGCTCATGTTTTTCAAGGGCTGGGTTTTCCTTATTTTTCAAAGCTACATGTTTGTTCAAGAAATGTCTCTAAAATTTTTTTCCAAAACAGTCTATATCCACTTTTGTATACTCTAGAATGATCTCTGCTATGTCCTAAAAAGTTCTTCTTAGCACAGTGTTTGTGCATATATGTCTGCACACATATACACACATATATTTTATTAACTATCACCAAAATTATGAAGTGCCTGCACGTGGAGAACTTAAACCTAATATTTCCAAAAATGTATTTTGATTTTCAACACTCACAGACACCCAGGGCAGTAGCAGAAGCAGCAGGAATTATTACCCTGGTTTCACAGATGAGATTTTGAAAAGTATGTGACTTGCCTGAGACCTCAAAGCCACTAAAGTAATGGAGCCAGAGCTCGAACCCAGGCCTTCAGCTTCCAAATCCGATACTGTCCCCACCACGTCTCCCGGCCTCTGTGTCCACAGGGCCGCTGGGGAGATGGATGTAAAAGAAGGCAGAAATGTAAGGCTTGAAAGCCTCTTTGGAATTTGGAGGGGCCAAGCATTAGCAAACAACTGAACTGTCATGCTCAGATCTAACAAGAATTCAGTGGTGTTGAGAGCATTCGAATGGCTTCGGAATTTAAAGGTGTTTTCTCTACAACAAAGGAAAATGCACAGCATGTTCCAGACGCTCCTCCATTTTCTCAAATGTGTTGTTAAGTCTCAAGTACTAGATTCTTCTTCTTCCGTATAGACCAGACTTATAGCTTTAGTATATTTTCTGAGTATTTCCTGGGCACACTTTAAAAATATCAATATTTATGCCCCATTTATTTAATTCCTATACTACTGACATTTAGAAAGGATGTGAGGAAGTTTCTCTGAGTATCTGGCATTGTGGTTAAGAATGAATAAATAAACAAATGAAGAAATTAGTCGGGATCTATTTCCACATGTCATACTTACTTAATCTGCAAGCCTTGTTAAAACCTCTACAGCCGGCCAAGTTGAAAGAACCATATCTAAAACAACTGGCATTGTATTTAAGGTGCAAAAATATATTCATAATTGCTTTCCCACCAGAGAATCTATCCTATGGAAATACCACTCCTCACATTCCAACCCCGTGTGTACATATGTGAACACACAGAAACAATTATGTGCGTGAAAACTAAAATGCCATTGTTTACACAAGCGAAAAGCAGAAAACATACATTTTCAACAAAACTGAACCGGTTGAAGGCATCATAATAGATCAAACCCGATGGAATATGAAGCAA